GGGGGGCGGGCAGAAACTCCAGAAATAGGTGAGAACCCTATTCTGCATGGAGAACCCTAGCGCCTGGGCTGCCTGCCACGGAGATCCTTCCCTGTGGCCAGTTTCGCCTGATTTCAAATTTAAACCTGTACCAGTGAACCCGCTGAAGGCTCCCTGTTCCCTTCTCGGCTTTCACCAGCGGAGGGATGTTGGGAATGGGGAAGGTGAAGGTGCTCTTTCTAAACGGCAGCCTTGGGCATATAGCTCTGCCGCTTGATTCCCCACAGCACCTCTCTCCTGCCATGGAAGGACACACAGGTCCCCTCCTCCCCGCTCCCCAGGGTAGCAACTTTGCTCAAGTAGGAAGCATCTCAGGACAGCCAGCTTTGTGTATCTATCCACAGAGGCATCTGGCTTCTCCTTGTTCCTGCACGCATCACCTGCAGGCCAATGCCCTCAGTCCCCTGGCTCCTGGCAAAATGGCCTTTCCTCGTTCACATCGTTCATGCGTTATTTTATCAGCCCTTTGCTCTTCCTTCAAGAAACACTGGTGGCGGTCCTACTATGCGCCAGGCTTTGTGCTAGTGATTTAGGCTGGTAGATGAGGAGCTCTGTCTTTCCGACAAGGCGGAAAGGAGCGCGCCCCCTGCCGTCCCTTGCTGCGTGGAACAGCAGAGGGGACTCGGGGGAGCCCCAATGTCCCGCCACAGCCCCTGCTTGAGTTGTGCTGTGTGGGTAGCTAGCAGAACACCACTGTTGCCCCTCGTCCTGAGTGATGGGACAGGGGATGGTCTTTCCGGATGGAAACGCTTGTAGATGATGGAGAAGGCAGGCACTTAACAGCGTTCCAGGGGCTACAGAGACCCCCACTGCCGGGTTTTACTAAAAGCGAGTCACGGGTCCTGCCCACATTTTTGAGGAAGAGATCTCACAAAGGCACAGACATCAACAGAAGGAGATTATGGGGGAGGGGGTATCTTGCAGCCTGTCCACCACAGCGTGTGTTGTGGTATACAGTTTTGTGTATGTGAATGACATCATTGACAAAAAAATCAACGAAAGGGTTAGGTTCAGCTGTGTGGGAGCACAGGTGGGCAGTTGCTCTAGCTGAGCTTCAGGGAGGCTTCAAGGGGGAGGCAGCATTTGAGCCAGTGAAGGATGGGAAAGGAGGGCAGTCGAAGGACACATGAGGGACTTTTCCTGACACCTAGGCTCCACGTGTCACACCTGGAGAACCGCCACTTGGCTTAGCACGCCCAGCTTCTGACCTCACCGGGTGTGCCCCATGACATCCACAGCCACAAGGGCACACCCAAGGCACACACTTGTCCTGTAAACACAAACCCACAGGGTGGGGTGTATGGTGGCAGAGCCGGGTTTGCAGAGTGAGCGGGAGGCCGGCTGCCACTTGCAGGGTTGGGGTCCACATCTTGCCTTTTGGGGCTCAAGCTGCTGGAGCCCAGCTGGCCCAGCCCGGCCCGGCCCAGGAAGTCCAGCCGGAAGATCCCACACAGCAAATTCAAGGACAGAAAAGGAAGGCTTTGTAGAGCCCAGCCCAGGAATGGCCAGGGCTGCGGGAAGAGGTGGCATGGACCAACTTTGGTGGGTCCAGGTGATGCCTCGTGTGGTCAGGACATGTGGGGACATGAAGCTGGACATGCAGGTGCAC